TGTGAAGTAAACAGTAATTTTTTATGAATCTTTTTTATAAAATCGTCAACAAGTAAGAATTAAATTTGTTTTTATTTTGCTTTCATAATTGTTGTGATTTTAAAGAAATACAATGGTTTCATTTTGTGTGTTGTGAGATGAAAAAAAAATATTATGATAATTAAGTAAAAAAAAATAAATAACACTTGTCTATAATTGTTAACATAAGTTGCTGTATTATATTTGTGAATAACGACTCAATGACTAAAATTAAAAAAAGTATTATACTATGACAAATTCTTAAAGATTTTTCATTGAACAAACGAAATGTCACAATTATTAAACATAAGCTCCAATCAGAAATTAAATTATTTATCTCTTAATATTTTATCAAAAAAATATCAATAAAAAAATTAACACAAATGTTTATCTTTATTTACACATTCAAAGGTTTTGTAATGCACTAACTTTGTTTTTTCAATTAATTAAAAGGTATACAACTTAGAGACAACTTTAAATGTGTAAAACTATACATATGTTAATCGACTTCATTTTTTAAATCACATTTTTAATAATTAACGTAATTAAAATAATTTCATCATAGAAATTAATCAATACAACCTAATTAATTATTTTCATTGTTTGTGTTGTTGTTAAAATTTACATGATATTTTGGTTATAAACATTACTCAGCTGTTTAATGTAGTGTTCATCATATACTCTAATAAGTTATTATTCCGACATCATAACATTTTACATGATTAAATTTTTATATATTAAGTTGTGTTTGTAGTTAAAGTGTACTTTATTGATAATGTGTCTTTGTTATTCGTAGTTTTATTGTATGTATTGTTGTAATTAATAAACAATTAAACCAATTGTTTGGGTTATGACAAACGTATGTAATTGTTCTTGATGACGAAAAACATTTTTATCATTTTGGTTTTATATTATTCAATGTTTTTACTTTAAAATATTGTTCGTTTAATTCAAATATCTTTGGTTAAATAACTCATTTATTATTTATTTAATTTTTTATTGACTGTTCAAATCAAAATGATACAAATTTTAAAATTGTAATATAATAAATTCAAATGTATAACAACACATTCACTTCGTTGAATTTGTATGGCGATATCTTTCGTGTTGACAACGATATAATTATTGAACGCATAGAGTATTTTTTTTAAATCGATTAATCGATTTTTTATATTTTTTTCATTTATGAAAACTATAATTTAATAACAAAAATAATTTAAGTAAGTCAAAATGTTATTTGTTTTTGTTTTTTCATCACAATCCAGATATAAATTATTTTGATTAATGGCAAATTTGCCCAAATGGTCAAGTTTTTGATTGAGTGGATACTTATATAGTAATTTAAATTAAAACTATATTTTATTATTTTGAAGAAATTTTATTTTATTATTTAAAAAACCATTGAAATAGTAAATTATTTTTTAAGTGAGTTACTTTTATAAAAGTGAGTCAAAAGCGAAGTAGTGAGTCATTTTTTGACAAGTGAGTTTTAAAAGTGAAAGGTGAGTTAATAGCCAATATTAAAATATGTTTAAATTATATTTTATGATTAAATCAATCACAAAGTATAGTACTTGTTTTAAATCAAATGTTATTAAATAATTAATTGTTAATAATTAAATTTAATTAATTGAATTGCTATTCTTAACTATAAAATATAATAAAATTAATCAATAAAGCAGTTAAATTAGTTTTGATTTATATTCAAAGACGACAAATTGTAAATAAATGGTTCTTTGCCGTAGTTGACCATAATTGGATTTGTTTGTCTGTATGAGATAGCAGCAGACAAATCCGAAAAGTCTATTTTTACTTTTTTTTATTAATTTTCCATTGACAGTGAAGAAGACTTCATTAGTGCTTTTAATAAAACCACACCCGGCAATATCCACTTTACCAAGTACTAATCCAAACGTCACTTGTTCCTCATTTTCAATTTCATTGCCGTTATAATAAAAGGATCCATCACTAGAATCCATTCCAATAGAAGGAGTCCCCCACCCCACCATTAAATACTTAAACAAATAGTATGTACTTGAAACGACTCCTAATGACACACAACTAAGTCCTTCTACACTGATCTCAAAATATTTTAAGTCATTGGAATTATAGTTCTCGTACTTTCCAGTCGAGTTGATATACGAAATGTTTTGTGTATAACCCATCTTGTCCCAAAAATAAGACGAAATTAACATCTCATAATCTAAGTCTTTGTGGTACTCACTTTGAGTGATAATGTTCTTGGTAACTACAGAGCCTAGCGACATTGGTACAAATTTAGACAGCCCACAAAATTCATTGCAGTCGTTTCTAAATACATCATTTTTGTTTTCACTGTAGTAGAATTCAATTTTATCAATTTTAGATTCAAATCCATCAAATTTAACATTTGAATTTCTTATATAAATTTCAGTATTTAACTTCTCAAGTTTCAATTTTGATATTTTCAGAGTTGTGCACTGCGAAATAGAAACATTCTGGACCTCTGGAATTTCCATATGAATTGAAGTTGAAGTCGCTTCACTGCAAATAATTCGTTTCACCTTTGTTGTGCAATTTGTTTTAAATTTGATTGTACAAGACTTACACACCTGGACAACTTCAAGTTGTTGAAATTCGCACATTTTATCAAAAATGACTTCCATTGAATTTTCGATAAAAATCGTTTTTAAATGTGGCGCTTTTATGCAGAACCTTCCTTTATCAACGCCGTTCAAATTAAATGTTTGTATATTCAAAAAGTTTAGAGTACCAAATAATCTTTTTTTATTTTTTATTGTAAAAAAGCATAAACCTCTTTGTTTAAAGCGTGAATCGTTGAATATCGAATTTGTTGTTTTTTATTGTTTTTGAATGTATTTTTTGAGTTGTTAAAAAAGGAAAAAAACAATCATCAAAATCGATAAATAAAATTTACAGAACAAATAAGGTTTCCAAAATGACTTTATATATTATTTGGTTTATTTTTTGTTCAATTATGAACCAAAAAATATTAAATATAATTATATTTGAATAATTAAATTAAAATTTTAATTTTTTTAAAAGTTGATATGTAAATACATAACTAATTTAAATTCAATGTGTATTGATATGAAGTATCAATAATTTAATGACAATCTTAATTTGTGTAAAAGAATTAATTTTAATTAACAACTTATTGATATTTGTTATATTTTTTCCATTTTGTAATTTAAGGAGAAACATAAGTTTGCAAAATATAACAAATTTTGTTATATTTGAAATAATTACAATACTTATAAACTATTAATACTATTGTTGCTGCATATGTATAAAACCATTGTCGAAGAGTGAAAAATATCACCGTTTTAACGGAGAAATATTTATCTCTTTTTACAATTTGTGAATATATAGGAAAAAACACTTTTTTAACTTAACATAAAGATAAATTGAATATATTTTTTATTATAAAATTTATAAAAAAACAATAAATTAAAAAATAAAATTAAGGAAATAAAAATAAAACAACAAAATATGTATTTTGACAACAATAAACTAATAATACAAAAAATTGAAAAAGACAAAAGAGAGAATAAAATGAACATTAAATGTTTAACGATTGAATTGAAATGAAATGAAGTAAATTCATAAAAAAGTCTATGTAAGTATTCAATAAAAATACAATATGTGTGTAAAAAAACAAAAAAAATAAAAAGACAATAAAAAAATAATTGAACATTGTTATGGACAAAGAAAATGTACAAAGTGGTATTCAAATAGAAAATGAACAAAGTGGTGGTTATATAGAAAATGTTCAAAACTTGTTTAAATTTTTTGGGTTATCATATTCTTAATGTACTTTAGTAATAAATGAAGTTATTCTTTTTCTTGTTTTTATTTTTGTTCTAGTATCATTAAATAAATCTGGAATTATCATAAATTATTGTGAGTGTTCTTTTTGTTAAAGTTGATATTTTTTTCTGATACTTTTACATCATCAAATTGATTATGATTTAAATTTGTATTTTCATCCATTGGACACATTATACTATTTTCAAACCCTTTTGTTATTTGACATTCGTCGTTATTTGTATCAAATTCATCAACATTATCTTCACTGTCAAAATCAAACTGTGTTTCCATATTCATATCATCGATGTGTTGGCTTGTTTTGGATAAAAATGCGAATAAATTGATTTCTTCAGTATAATAATTAATTGTCAAATTTCTGAGTATTTCAGTTTTTATAGCCGTTTTACTTTTTGTGTTCTGAAAATCCCATTTTTCATTTGTTCAATATCTTTTGACACATTTTCAATTACTTCTCCAATTTTTCCACAAAACGCCAAAACTTTGGTTTTGAAAAATCAAGTTTTCGAGTCAAGCTTGCGTGATATGATTCACAATCGTTATTTGTTCTTTTATCATGAAAATATTGGCACCAAAGTGATTTTTAAAATCGCCAAATAACCACACTCTTTTGAAGTACTCAAGAACAACTTTAAAGTTGTCCAAATGTTGAAACCACATTTCGATGTTTTTGACTGTGTTTTCTATGTCATTTTCGATCAAAAAACACACCGATTCCAACATTTTAACGGCTTCTTTAAATTCCTAATTGTTGAGATATTCGGTCTGAAGTACTTTCATTTTAATAATTTTTGTAATAGCTTGTTTTTGATGAAATAAACACCCTTTATACACTAAACCAATTTCTTTATATTTAGAAAATACACTAATGATGAAACTTTCAAAATCTGTTAGCACTGTAACTTTACATTTAAAACAAGAAGTCACAAATCCATTTTTACTTAAAATTTCATCTTTTGCATCGAACAAATTTTTATAAAGTTTGGCAGTTTTTCTTTTCAGTAAACAATGTAAAATTGGAAATGTTTGTTTGTTTTTTAATTGGCAATGTATTGTGTATAATTGATAAAACTGTTTTGAGCAACTTTTGAATGTGCCATCCATAAGAAATAATTCACATTTTGTCAGCAAAAATAAATGTTCAATAAAACCAAACACAAATATAGAATATTTTGAACTTCGGTAAAGTATATTTGAATCTCCCACTTTAAGAGGTATTTCAGTACAACTTTGAGGTTCTTTGATAGTGGTTGTGTGTCTTTAAATAATTTTTTAAGGGTGGCATCTTTAACATCGATAGAACTTCTTTTAAATCTCGTAAAAAGTTTATGTTGTTGTTCTCTTTTGGTTGGTGAAAGTTTAAGATGTGCCTTTATAAAAATAAAATGATTTTTCTGTTTTAAACAAGGCTTCTCGTGTTTGTGTATTTTGTTTTTTCCATATCTGAATGAACCATCAATTTGTTTTATCACAGAAACTCCACAAAGTGGAACAGCACATATAAAGTAAACACTGATAGTATCTATGGGATTAAATAAATAACCATCAATAACAGAAAGTGATTTCTATCTGTTACTATCAATGCTCATAATTGTTACAAACAATTTTTCTTTTTATTTTTAAGAATAAATACAAAATAAAAAATAAAAAAGAATAAATTAATTTAACGTATAATTTATTTTTAAACGTTTTGTTGTAAAAATATCAAAAATTAATGATTGTTTGCTTGTATTTAGAAACAACAAAATAATGATTTTTTAGATAGTTTTTTTGTAAATGTAAATTAAATTTAGTTTTTCTAAGCATTTTATATTGTATTATTGTTTATTTTATACAGATTAAAATTAAAATAGTATATCATTGATTATACAAAAACGATTTGAACACTTTCTGCAAATTATGGATATCATATTTGGTGTGTTTTACACACAATTAATTTATAAAAAAACAAGATATATATTATAAAGATAATTTCAAGATGAATGGTTTTATATACAACTGTTTATATACACTGCTGTCATATTATAGTGTTTTGTGACTTGGAATGTTGTAAATAAAGACAATTAAATGTATATATAATATAAAAATAAACTATTTTGTTAATTTTTTGATATTTATTAATAATAGCTAACAATTCTTGTTATTTTAAAAAATAGAATATTCAATAAACAAATAAATTATTTTTTGTAAAGTATCGTTTTAAAGAATATTTTTAATAATTTAAGAAAACATCCGAAGTTTCCAAAACATTTTTGGTGAATTGTCATTTGGTAAAATGTACTTTTTACGTTTAAGGGGCTTGCTAATCATTCAATCTATGCATGAATTGAGTCAATCTCGGTGTAAAGTCAACATGTCTAACCATATGAAAATAATTATGGTTGTAATTTACATTAGTATAATGTACTGATTCAAATTATCCCCAAATAAAGGCATCTCGATATTTAAATTGAATTTTTTGTTTGGTTCGATAGTTATATGAAATTAAATTGTAATAAAAATAGAAACAAATAAATAATTGTATATAATTTAATATAGTTATTATTATCAAGCCGTTGTTTTTCTCACCAACTCTATGATTAAGTTTGTAATAATATGTTTTTATTATAAAAACCCACAAAAAAACTTTACTTGACAACTTGAAAATGATGCAACTAAATTACAGTTCTCGAAAAATTCGAATGTTTTTCATAAGGAAGATCGCTGCCAACGTCTTTAAATTGACTTTTTTACTTGCATATATTGTATTGTTTTAATGTTTTTTATGTTTTTTGGTTCGTGTGTTATAATTCAATATGTAAATCTCCATTAACCACATTTATAATTCTATCATTTATATAAAGCAGATACTCTTTAACTTTGAATAGTTTTTTTTAAATACAAATTTTTCCTGTAATTGGTCACAAATTTTTTTTGACTCGGAAAAATATCATTGAAAAAACCAGCAAATGTGAGAAAAAGAGGGTCATTTACACAAAAAGTTTTGATTTTTTCATTTAGAATAATTAATAAATAATCAATTTCTTTAATTGTGTTATTTTTATTTGTTAGTATTGTTTAGTATTCAGATATTAATAACTCGTTTATTTTATCAAATAAACCCAATTTTATGAAAAAAAACATCGAAACTCACATGACTGTTGATTAGTTTTTCAACAATTGAGGCATGGTAAAACAATCTTGTATTACTTAATGTGGGAATCTGAACTTGATCTTTTTACCTTACTCTTTTGCCTTCCTTTTATTGCCCAAAAGAAATTCCACCGATTTATTGTTACATCATTTGAAATGAATTATGATAATGCCAAAACAATTTTCATCTATAGTGGTCCAACTAAAAAACTCACCAACATTCATTCTATGGCATAAACAATAATGTGACGTGTGGGTGTCCAGTAAAATTTTTCTGATCTTTAAAAGTTCCTCTTTTTAAATGAGAGTTTTGAGTTTTTTCTTTTCTAAGCAATTTACAAACTACAGAACGACACCCCTGCATCACAATACATCCATTAGTTGTACAAAACACTCATTTCAACAAAGATGCTTTGAATTTATTTTATATTGATTGGGTTGATTTTCTTCTTGTTTCAAAGAGGAAATGGTATAATTAAGAATTCACCACATTATTGAAGTATTTAAACGCATAATAAATAATAAAAAACACATAAAATGATTCAATTTTCTGGGTATCACTAAATGATGGTCTTGATTTACTTTGAGACAATCAAAAACTTTTTTAACTTGAAATTAGTATGAAAGAAATTTAGAGGCATTATGTAGAAGTTTCACTTTAACCCGATTCCGTTAAATTACACAACAATTAGGTACTTTCAAAACATTGAGACACTTCATTTGTGGAATAGAGATGAAGAGATTTTTTTAATGGGATTTTTGTCTCCATTGAATATAATGAATATAAAATTGTTTAAAATTTTAAATGATGATAATAAAGTTATAATATATAAATATTTTTTTCAAATTATTAAATAATTTAATGTTGATTCACGGTTTCCAGTTTAATGGGGACCGAACACATAGATTTAGGGTTTATTTTCTCAAAATCGTCGAGAAAACAAAAAACAAATAAAAACAAGAGACAAAAGAAAAAAAAATTTTTTTAATGATTTTCTTTTTCATAACACAATTTTTTGGTTTAGTAAAAAAGAGAGCAAAGCAAAATGTTGATTATTTGATAACAAAATATTTGGGGGGAATGTTATTTGTATGAAAACTAAAAATAAAAAACAACAAAATTGATGAAGGGAATCGGGCAGTGTTAAAAAATAGAATTAAAACATTTATTATAATAAGATTGTTCGACTTAAAAATTGGGGAAAAACACAACAAATTCAAATTGTGAATAAATATGAAACAAAGATAGTTTAAAAGTATTAAAATAAATGGAATTGATAACTATAACTTTTAATGTTTTATTGTGTAAATTGTTATAAGTTCATTTTATTTAACACAAATCGAAATTATTATTATTGATTAACATATTATAATTATTGTTATAATTATAATTTTGAAAACAATTCAAACCAAACCCACCATAAGCACAATTCAATTACTCTTTAATATTTTTTCATACTTTTAAATTGAATTACCATTGATTTTCAAAAAATTATGGGTTTATATATTATTTAACTATAATATATTAATAAAAGTATTTGACTATGATTAATCGAATTATATTAAAGTCCAAATCATATTAATTTAAATATAAATGCGTGTTTGTTTATCCAAAAAGGCATTTATTGTTACATTTCAACTTTATTGAAACAAACAAGTATCATTTTTGTGTATTGTATGGCATTGGTTGGTAATTGATTATTCCCGATTTTGTATTTAAAAAATACCATATTGTTT